TGTGTGTGTGTGTGTTTTGTGGGTGTATCTCTGGCCTATTATCTTACCACAATATTAACGTAACTACAACTGCTACACAAACATAAGGGCGGACAAACTTCATCTTCTTCAAAATACTTGGTATGCTGGAAGACAAATTGTTCAAGGAATCATCTTAACAGGTTATTAGTCAAATAATATAATTATCGGTTATGTTGAAAGTATTTCCTAATACATGTGTATGAACGTTAAAATCTGTCTGTGAACGTTTAAATAGTAACGTTTAAGATAAGAGTCTGTATGGTACCTCTCCAGAAGACAGGAAATGGCACTTCTTTCTCTATGGCAAAAGAACGCAGGAATGTGTAAAGGCCAATCCGAGTATATAGGAAACAAAAATCTCAGAGGAGGAACCCTGGTACCCATTCAAACCAGGAGTGGTACCAGCGGGGTCCAGGGACCCCTTCGCCGTTGGCGATTTTTTTCCCCGTACGAAATATTTGCATGAAACTCCACTCAGGCCGTCTCGGATTGACTCGACCCGATTTGGATACGAACAAGAGCAGGCACTTCGCAAGGCCGTGACGCTCGAGTATTCTATTACCATTACCGTATAATATTATGTTTACCTACGGTACGGTAGGCCTATGAAATCTTACCGATTTATGGGATGTAGGCTACGTCTGTAACTAACTGTGAGCTTCTTGTATGTTTGTTATCAAATTTAATACTACCTACAGCAACAACAACAACAACAGCTAGTACCCCCTTCTATAGGGTGTAGTACCAAAAGTAAATAGGTACATTCCTATCAAAGGCTAGAGCAAAAGCGGCTATAGCTAAACTGTGGCCCTAGTTACAAGCTGATTTGGTCCTACCTGCTAGCCCCCCCCCCCCACACACACACACCAGACTAGACCCCTAGGTTCCTAGGCCTGACACAACAGTCACGCTTCGCATGCCATTGACTGAAATTTTGAAAAAAATTTAAAACATGAAATTAAAATGGGACAGTGAGTAAAAGAAAATATTATTAATCAATAATAAATTAAATATATCATTCCGGCATTAATAACTTGGCCTAAGACTTATAATATTTAAAAAAAAAAAAAAAATAATAATAATAATAAAAATAATAATAATAATAATTATAATAATAACAATAATAATAATAACAATAATAACAATAATAATAGGCCTAATAATAATAATAATAATAACAATAATAATTTTTTAATAACAATAATAAAAATAGTAATAATAATCAAATAACCTTATATAATTTCGCCATTAATTAACTTAGCCTAAGCCTTGTAATCAAGAAGAACCTACAGTAAAATACTATAATTAACAACTAGGCCTTATTCATTCATTGTACGCTGGTATTTTGGCAGGTGCTATGGCATCCTTATTTTAGAGCTGTCGATTCTCAGCTTTTCTTTTAATTTCAAAATTGGCCCCAAGTCAACTCGGCCCCAGTCAACTCGGTCTCAAGTCAACTCGGCCCCAATTCAACACGGCCCCATGTCAACTCGGCCCCAAGTCAACTCGGCCCCATGTCAACTTTGCCCCAATTATATCGTTCTCATGATTAGTTTTATATCTTTTTATATTTTTATTAATATTATTTTATTATTATTTGTATTAATGTTGTTTCAATTATTGTAAATGAAAAGAAATAACAAAGGCAACAATTTAAAACACTTTAATTTTGGCTTTGCATTCAAAACTCTTTTGGTAAATATTCAATAAAAACTCGATAATTTTTAGACCTAAGCATTGCAGTACAGAATAGATGTGATTAATTGTATTTGCGTGACTTAAGCAACTTGCGAAACAGGTACTGACTTTCGGTGGTTTTTGGCTGTTTTTTTCGTTGTTATCCAATATCCAGCCTTCAGAGGAGATAGGGGAAGTTACGTGGTGGCGATGATGATCGGATGATGATAATGATGATGATGATGATCAGATGATGATTATAATATTAATACTGTAATAATAATAATAATAATAATAATAATAATAATAATAATAATAATAATAATATTATGTTGAAGCTTGCGGTACACCACGTAATCGTCTTAGGAGAATAATATCTGCAGACACTCCAAACGTTTCGATCTCAATCGAAACGTCGAAACTTTCTCAACAACAACAGTTCTTTTTAGAACTACTTACGTGGTGTACCGCAAGCTTCAACATATATATTATTTCTTCGCCATGCAAACCTTTAAGCAATAATAATAATAATAAGCAGAAATTTATAACGCACCAATTCAAAAACATTATCAAAGGCGCAGAGAACATTGAACCCAAATTAAAGCGATTTTGTAAACAAAAATGTTTGCAAATTAGTTTTAAATGAGTTTAAATTTGAAGATCGGACAGAAAGTAGAAGATTCCAAAGATAAAGTGCCTAAACAGAGAAAGAACGTTGTGCCTATGTTATTTTCTTTTTCTTTTTGATGGGGCTTGAATAAGAAATTTATAGGAAGAACGAAGTCTACGAGTTGGAGAATATGTCGTAAAAAATGTAGCAAATATGATAGTTGTTTACAAATTATTTCTTTAACAAGTTGAGCAAGCAGATTAATTACAAAATAACTGCTGAAATTGTAAAACATTCGGGCGAATATAAAAGTATTGTGATTCATGTCATTTATTTTGCTTTGCCATTTTATCCCGTCTTAAAATAAAAACTGTTAACAATCCATGTTTTATTACAATTGTCTTGCTAAAACCAGAGATTGCTTATACCACACTCATCAAAAATAGTTTCGATATAAAAATAAAATATAAACTAATTTTGTCAATTGTGGCGCTTAGCCCCTGGTTGAATTTTCATATTTTTTCGTGTGCTTTCTGAACCCAGCCTACACTTTGGGTAGGTCATCACGACACTATCCATGCTAGGCCTATATCGTGTGTGTCATACCGAGCTTAATTGTTAGAGCAATGTATACAAGTTCTGCTGTTTAAGACTTTTTTAATTATCCGTGTTGACTTTGTATCGTAATTGCATAGAAGTGTTGTAATCAAATTATTTTAATTCTATTGTAAATCGTTCTAGGTTAATTTAACTAAAATTATAAAGAATCTAGGCCTATGATTGTTTTATGATTGCCTGTCAAATACCAATGTTAAAAGAGTGAACATTTGTCTTTTCTCACATTTATATTAGGCCTACCCTGCTTAAGAAGTGTTTACCATTAAAAATCAGGAAATCGTAAGTGGCACTTTGAAAAAGAAAGAAATCATTAAGTCCCATAGGCCTATGCACATGATAAACATTGAGTTATTTAGTATTTACGGAGAAAGTTTAATTATTGTACCGGAATGAAATTGGAACGAAGTAGTACCGTAGCGTATCTGTAGTACAAGAAAAATACATCTTAGGGTTGAAAAAATTGCAACAGAATTTCTGTTTACCCTAGTACCCAGACCAGGTTTTGTATGCACTTTGAGGTCCAGAGAATTTGACTTCATAAATTGGTTTAGGGTGGTCCAAGAATCATTTTGGCTTGGTAACACATTTTCAAAATGTGGCGAAAGGTCAAAAGGTCATGGTCATAGCTATAGGGTCGTCATATCTCCGCAACCACTGGGGATAGAGAGTTAATTTTGGTGCCTATTTGTTCAGAACATTCATGTTTTTATTTGGTCTAATAGAAAATTTTGTTAAAAAATGACCGAAAATGCTGTTTCTAACCTTTGACATGTTTCAAGGTCATAGAAATAGGGTCATGATATCTCCGCAACCACTGGTGGTAAAGAGTTATTTGTGGGTCAATATGTTCGGAACATTAATGTTTATATTTGGTCTAATAGAAAAGTTTGCTATAAAATGATCGGAAATGCTGTTTTTGACCTTTGACATGTTCAAATGTCATAGTTATTGAGTCCTTATTATCTCCACAACCAGTGGTGGTAGAGAGTTAATTTTGGTGCCAATTTGTTCGGAATACTCATGTTTCTATTTGCTCTAATAGAACATTTTACGACCGGAAAAGCAATTTCTGACCTTTGACATGTTTGAAGGTCATAGCCATAGAATCTTCATATCTCCACAACCACTGGTGGTAGAGAGTCAGTTATGGTGTCAATTTGTTCGGAACATTCATGTTTCTATTTGGTGTAACAGAACAATTTGCTAAAAATGATCGGAAATGCCATTCTGACCTTTGACATGTTTCAATGCATATATGCCTATCCCTAAACATAATTACTGTAGAGACTTCCTTGTGATCTCAAATTATTCATTTACACATGTTTCTGTTTACTTGATTGGAACCTTTTGTT